TATATATGGAAATATATGCCATTATATTATAGTTGCATTGTTCCTAGTACCAAAACATTGTTTGCAGCCTAAATGTTCATCCATTAAGGATTGGTTATATTATATGATATGAAATTAAATACTATTGCAGGCATAAAAAATGAAACTATTCTCTTTATATGAAATAAATACATAAATTTTAAACCTAGATATCTATTTTAATTAGAGAAAAAGGTCACTTGTGTAAAAAACTGTATGTGTGCATATGCGCGTGTATGAATAAACTATTTCTAGAAGAGTTCACAGGAAACTCTTCTAGATGAGGTGAACTGAACCTAATTGAAACTTGGCAGTTTGCTCATGAACATTGCAAAAGTTCGGTGCCTCGGGAAAGAAAGGGGTCAAAGTTCTGTGATGAGGGAAGCTGTGTAAAAGATGAAACACTTGTCACTACCTCTTCATTTATATCTTTTGAATCTATTACCAAGTCTGTGTTGTCTATTCAAGATGAATAAAATTTTAATCCTACTGTATAAAGAAGCTTGGAAATTGGATTTTTATGAACAACTTTTAATTCTGATATAATTTCAAATGTACTGAAAAATTGCAAGAATACCACCAGAAACTTCCTTGGAGCAGGCCTTGCGCTTAGCGGTTATGTCTCTGACTTCTTATAATCTGGAATATTATTCAGCCTTTCTCTGTTTTCTTGACTGCAAAACTTTTCAGTTCTTTTGTAGCATGTGCTTCAGTGTAGGTTTGTCTTAGGTTCCCTCCTGATTGGACTCAGGTTCTATGCTGTTGGGTAAACACTACAGCAGTGATTGCTGTGTCCTTCTCACTGCAGCCCAAAAGGAGGCGCTGTGCTCACCGGGGATCTCAGCCCCGGGTGTGGGAGACCAGGCTCTCTCCTTCAGGGCACCCGCAAACGCTTTCAGGTCATTTTGTGGCACTGGAGCTGGGGATTTGAATCCCTAACCTCATCCATTACATTCACCACTTTGTTCAGCAACGGTAGGAGCTACCAGCCAACCTCATACACGGGGTGTCCCCCCAAAATGTATACACACATTTTGAATAATTATAAAGGCAGTGTTTATTAAAATACATTTCCTTTTCGAAATTGAGCTCTCAGCTGTTACAGTGTGTATACATATTTTGGGGAACACCGTGTTTTGTTCGTTTTCCCAAAATGTTCTGAAGTGTCATCCACACAGTCACCCAGCTCCTGGCTCCGTACAAGAGGCTGGTGAGGAGTATCCACTGCAGATCGTTCACATTTCTCCGCGGCCAGCTCACACCCTGGGCTGTCAGTGCTCTCTACTCCTGGAAACAGAGTCCTTCTAGTGGCTGTTGTTTAAATAAATGTTTCCAAATTCTTGTACAAAAAGACTGTTGTCCTCCTCCGGAGGCATTCTTACATTTTCTCTGTTGCCACTCATTAACTCAAAACCCTTTTGGAACCTCGTTTTTCATTCAGAAGCCAGTGGAAAACAGCTGGCCCATTCGATAAATAGTTTTGAACTTCTTAAAAGAAATTCAGCTTTCAACATCAATGGCTGTTCAGCTTATTTGAACTCTTTGGGGGAGTTCTAAAGAAAATGTCTGAACAGAGCCAATACCGTCATCCTGGCGTTCTTGATGGGGTCCTGGCGTTCGACATGGGGTATCAAGACCGGCTTCCTAGAGGAGCTGATGTGGAGGCTTTTGAAGAATTGAGAACCTGCCAAGCAGCTGTGGGAGGAAGAGACCAGGTGGGGAAAGGACAGAATGAACCCCAGGAGCAAACCATGAAGTCATGGTGCTCGTGGGAACTGTAAACAGCTCGTTAATGTGGAGGTGAGCCTGGTAGAGAAAGAGGAGACGGGGAGGTGTTGATGGGTAATTAGGAGAGTCACGTGAAGAGAACCTAAGACCAGAACACAGAAGACCTTGTACTCTGCTCTGGAGTTCACATACTTCTCTTTAGGGCTCCTCATTGAAAGGGCGTGCGGTCATCTTGGCCACGGCAGTACATGCTTTCATTATCTTACCTATCATACTCTGCTGTTATTATCTATTTGCAGTACTTCCCTGTTCTTTTTCTTTTCTTAAATCCCAGAGTCAGGCCCCAGTGTCTGGTACAAAGTTGATCTTGGTCTCTTGTAAGCGGTGGCATCTTCCCATGTGTCCTCTAGGATCATTACAGCATTTGCCCCTGTAGGCAAACCCGGCAGGTGACCACATTACCTCCTGGAAGCTGACTTCATCCCCGAAGACTTTCCAGAGCAAATTGAAACCTTGGATTGGTGTTCATGCGTCTGCTGGCACCCTCTAGCGGTGGTTTTCAGCCTAAGCAAATTAAAATTTCGTCTTTGATAACCATGGTTTCAAATAAGATACGCCTGGGATGTTTTGTAAGGGGTGAAGCTTTGTATTTAATACCGTATTTGGATGAACCTTTGACTCTCTCTCCAAGTTAATAATTATGCCTGTGATCGTTCTGTCCGTGTGTTTTCAATGTCACCTAGAACTTTTAATTAACAAAATCATTTAATTTGAAATAAAGTGAATTTTGAGGAAAGTCATGATTAGACAGACCTGGACTCTTAGAACATTCTAATCTCATGTGTTATTTGCTGTATCTCTTAGTCACCAAGTTCCACACTCATGAGGTAATTTTTTCTAATATTCTTTTCTTCTCTCTCTCTCTCTCTCCTTTTCTCTCTTCCTTTTTTCCTGTGTGGACAGTGTTTTGTAAAACTAAAAGAATCCTGTTTTGATTTGTTTTGACTCTTATCCTTGAAGACAGCTGTTGAGCATGTCATGCAAATTTGAAGGTTAAGCTAGACAGGCTGGGTAGTGAGCCTTCGCTTTTTATTACTTTTGTGTGTCTTTGAACATGAGCTGTGTAGACATTTTGCTTGTGACTAGCCGCTAGTTTATTGGCGCAATCGAATTATGATCACCGGATTAATTCCTTGTGTGTTGGGATTGCTGTGATTTAAGTAGCAATGATAATAAAATGAAAGCATTTATTAAAAATCTCCTCCCTGCATAACATAATTGGAAACATAAAATTAATTGCCTCTTTTTTAAAGCCCTTGCACAGTGCCAGGGGGAGAGGGGTGTAATTATCACCATCTCACAGATGAAGAAGCTGAAACACCTGGAGGCTAAGTAGCTTTCCCGAGGTCTCACGGTTAAGGTTAATAAGTTTGCAACATGAGCATTCAGACCCAGATGCAGAGGACTTGCAGCCACCCTTAAACTTGCTCACAGTCGGAGGATGCACAGGAAAACCACTGCAGAAAAAGGCACAGAAAACCCTGGTGCGGTTCATAGCTCTTATTTAAATATACGCCACCACTTGATAGAAATCTTGGTTTTAATTTACTGTTGACATTATCAACATCTGTTTGTTTCCACTCCTAATTATAGCCACAGCCTTCGTTGTCATGCGAAGGAAGTTGAAGGTACTTTTTGGCCTTGTGGTCCCAAAGGCTTAGTTCTTGCGCTGCCGCACTGGCCCCACAGCAAGCGCGCTGGAGATACAGCTGCTGCCCAGGTCAGCATTCTGCCCATCCTGGCGCTCCCTGCAGGCTGCTCTCGGAAGTGACCTGTGTGTCTGCCTGTGGCTCTCGGCAGGTGGAGTGTGATGGTGGCAACCACTTGTCCACTTGGGTGTTGGCCTAGCTCCGGTTCATATATGTTTATATGTGTGAGTTGATATGTACATAGTGACTGTGTCTGGGTTTTCTAAATTTAAAAATTTTTTCTTTGTAAATATAGACACGTATGCTAGGCATTGGGTTTTGTTTAGGGGCGGGGGGTGGTTACTCTTTTTTTCTTTGTTCCTATGGCTTCTTCCAACTGCCCACATGGCCTTCCTCCTCTTTACCCAATTATATGTATAAAGGATACATAAGACATGGCATGCAGTCTTCCATATTTTTCATGCTTTTGTAATCATGTATAAAATATATCTATGTGCAGTTACATATGCTAATCATATATGGGGTGGCTTGTTAGCCTTTTATGGTAAAAAGGTAGGATCATATTATAAAAACTTTTTAAAACCCATAAACCTTACGACCAGTTATCCCATTCTGGTGATCTGTCCAGTAGAAATAAAAGCACTGATTCGTAGGGTTTTTCTTATTTGTTTTTTAAATATATTTTTATTGATTTCAGAGAGGAAGGGAGAGGGGGAGAGAGAGAGAGAGAAACATCAATGATGAGAGAGAATCATTGATTGACTGCCTCCTGCACTCCCCCTACTAGGGATGGAGCCCACAACCGAGGCATGTGCCCTTGACCAGAATCAAACCCAAGACCCTTCAGTCTGCAGGCTGACGCTCTATCCACTGAGCCAAATCAGCTAGGCCTGATTTGTAAGGTTTTGTGTCAGGAGTGTTTTCTACAGTGTTACTCAAAATAGCAGGAAGGAAGGGGGGTGGTTAAATAAATAATGACTATCTACCCCATGAGATTTTAGGCAGCCATTCAAAAAATGGATTTGACTTATGCCAGAAACGTCTCCTCTGCCATCTTCTCTGTTATGGATTCACTGTTTTTTATCCCTTTTCTGACATTTAAGTGGGGTTTCAAGAGGGAAGAGAAATACATGTATTTGGACCTTTTTCTGTATAATTGAAAATCTGGCTCAGTTGATGCAAGACCTGGTTTAACTTAATTTTTCTTCCTAGAGCGCTTAGGTTGTCTTCAACTGTCCCTCCTACCCCCTCTTACTGTACCTTCTCTATTTTGGAAATTAGGAATCCCCTGCCCCTCACAGAATTAGATTCTTTCTTCTTTTTTGGCTTCTGACACCTACTGGGCCTTCCCAGCAGCAGCCTCTCAGCCCAGCCTCAAATGGTCATCTCTAAACTGCAAACTCAGAACCAAGGAGACCGCAGTTCAGAAACTTTGTGCCTGTGGTATTTGGATTTTCTTGGAGAGAAGAGACGCACAGAAAAAAAAAGAAATAGCATCTCTGTGTAACCACATCTACGTCTTCCTTTTCTTTTACTTCTGCACAGGTTTGAAAAGGGGCGCATCTACACATTCATCGGAGAAGTTGTCGTTTCTGTAAATCCCTACAAGTCGCTGAACATCTATGGGCGAGAGACGATTGAGCAGTATAAAGGCCGGGAGCTGTACGAGAGGCCGCCTCACCTGTTTGCTATTGCCGATGCCGCCTACAAGGCCATGAAGCGGAGATCCAAAGACACTTGTATTGTGATATCAGGTATTTTAGGGAGGGGCTCCCCTGTACTTGCAAGGTTAGACTGTATTTCACTTATTAGGTACTCAAGGATCCAAATGTTTCATTAGATCTTTTTTTGAAGTTAGAAACGTAAGCAATTTTTAGAAGAAAAAAAAATGTGATGAACATACAAAATTATTTATATCATTTCCGACCACCCTCTAGTCTTGGTTCATTTACAAAATACATGTTACGTTTGGATGGACCTCTAGACAGTTTTGTAGACTGAGCTGCCATGGAAATTCCTTCCATCTCAAACACATAAAAGTACCGGACAAATTGTAACAAAAGTTATTTTAGGTAATGACAGGGTGAAACCGAGAAAATGAAATCCTGGTACCAAGAATGAAAGAATGAACTCAGTCAGAGTGGTGAGTGGGAGCTAGTGTTGAGGGGGCCCAATAGGCTCAGAGAGCTGGGGGTGCTCCACCAGGAGGGAGACGGACCCCAAAGGCCCAAGGAGGGGAGCTGAGCTCTTCAACGGACCCCAAAGGCCCAAGGAGTGGAGCTGACCCAGGAGGGCCTCCCCCAAACTGTGGAAACTTCTTCTGGTGCTACTGGCACCTCACATTTTGCATGAGTGGCTTTATACTTTTGAAAACATTTTTATGATCTTTATTCCATTTTGATTATTGCAGCAGCTCTGAGTGGTAGGTAAAGCAGTTGTGTTTCTACTTTATAGAGGAGACTATCAAGGGTCAGAAGAGTTAGGAGTTAGAGAATGATAGCCTAGGACTACATTCTGTGAAAACAAACTATGTTAAGCAATATTGCCTGACTGTATTAAGTGAACACAAAAAGTCCATTCCTTTAGACTATCTCTCCCCCCCAAAAAAAGAATAATTTCAGCAGTAACACTATGAACAATAGTGTTTATCCTTTTATACCATTTCTTTCATGTACAAATACATATAGTTACACATGCATATATAATTATGTCGTAAATGCACAATTATAGAATTATGTTATAGCTGCTATTACATACCTTGTTTTTTTCACTTAACAGTATATAATGGACATCTTTTCATCAGATAATTGTGTAGTAGTCTACCAAATCATAGTTTATTTCCCCTATCCTCTATTTATGAGCATATTATTTTCAGATTTTAGCTATGATATGTAGCCAGCAAAAAGCCTTTTGAAAAGTACGATGATTATTACTATACTAGTATTTTATTATTTCCTCAGTATAAATATTTACAGGTAGAATTTTGGGGTCAGAAGGCATAAACATTTAAAAATTGGGGTAGGTAATTCAAAATTGACCTTTTCTTCCCCCTTTTACCAGTTGTCATGCTTTTTCAGTGATACCATGTGTCTGAAGCTTGCTTGCTGCCTGTTTTTTGTTGTTGTTTTTTACCAAAATTGCTCTAATTTTCATTTTCTGAAAGAATTATTTTGTCCCCAGTAAAATGAAAGGAAATACTGTTATAGAAAAAAGGTAATATTCATTTAGCTGTGGCTACTGTTTGAATCATTAACTTACTTTTTTCCTACGAGACAAGAATCACTGCAAAGGGCTAAGACTAGTCTTAGGAACTAGTTTATCACATTTTAGTTCATGATTTTTTTTACTAAATATATCTTGATTTGTAATCTATATGTTTCTTTACTTCTACAATAGTCTTATTTTTTTTCAACATGGCTAGAACCAGTACCACATCAAGACAGGATGACAAAACTCCAAAAAAGGCAAACATTAAAACATAGGGATTTTAAATAAGTAACTACCATGACAATTTTAAATTACCCCATTAAAAATGAGCTTGCTTAAGCCTGGCACAATTTTCCCCCAGGGGAGAGTGGAGCTGGCAAAACCGAAGCCAGTAAGTACATCATGCAGTACATTGCGGCCATCACCAACCCCAGCCAGAGAGCCGAGATCGAAAGGTAAGGGCAACCTCCTAATGGAGAGAAATTCTGATTAGAGCTTTACTTTCTACATAGAATCGGCTAGACCTAAACTCTGATATGTATCAACTATTTATTGATGATAAACTGCTTTGATTCTCCTATCACATGCTGTCTCTACTTGTATTTATATCACTCTATTTCTATATTTGTTTTTATTTTTAAATATATTATTGATTTCAGAGAGAGAGAGAAACATCAATGATGAGAGAGAATCATTGATTGGCTGCCTCCTGCATGCCCCCTACTGGGGATCAAGCCTGCAACAAGGGCATGTGCCCTGATAGGGAATCGAACCTTGACCTCCTGATTCATAGGTCGACGCTCAAACACTGAGCCATGCCAGCCGGGCTCTATATTTGTTTTTAATAGGAAAAAAAGCTGACTACTGTGGTATAAGCTTTACATAAAGATAAAATAAGATTATTCTGAAACAGATGCAAGTGTTTCTTTTCTAGTTTATAACTGCTTCCTTAATTGTTGTACGTGGTCAGCAAAGACATTATAATTCACACTGGCGGTTTTTACGGTGCAAATGCTCACAGGTTTCTTGCTCTTTCTATTTCTGTCTTTTAAAAGTGGTGTTCTGAGGAGTCCTAGGTTCCTGAGTGTGCAGGGGGCTCTGGGAGGCAGATCCATGCCATCATTATTACAACTAGAACTCCTGAATGTAGATGTTCTAAGTATGATTTATTTTCTGAAAGGGTTTCAGCCACCCCAGGCGCCACTCACTGCAAGATGAGTAATAGAGCTCCCGGCACTGCCTGGGGCCCCGCAGTTACCACAGTGACTGGCACATAGTATTTACATTGTAAATGGGTAAGGAATGAATGGATGGGTTTTTATTTAGTTTTTGTTTGTTTGTTAAAATAAAAATATGGTGTTTTTATTTTATTTTAAAGAGAGAAGAAAGGAGAGGGAGTGAGAGAGAGAGAGAAACATTGATGTGAGAGAGAAACAGCGATCAGTTGCCTCCTGTATGTACCCCAACAGGGATCAAACCCACAACCTGGGTATGTGCCCCACCCAGGAATCAAAGCAATCCTGTGGTACATGGGGCCAACTGAGCCACACTGGCCAGGGCTAGATGGGTTTATTTTAAAAGAAAGGAAGAAATGTGGCTACAAAGCAACATGACTCAACTTTCTTATGTGGTGTGGACTTTTTGAAGAGAAAAAAGGATTTTTTCAGAGTTGCTACTTTGAAACTCAATATTCCCTTACTGAAGAGCAACACTCCATATACATATCTCTATCTTCAATTTTATGAATAGAAAGAAGGGATGCTGGTTTGATGTGAGAGAAGAGAATTTAGATTACACTACCCGATGTGGGCTTTCTTCTTTTTGTTGTAATTGGGCTGGATGGTCAGGGCAGAAGATATTTTTTTTTTCTTTGCGACACATTTCCCACTTCTCATTCTGTCTTTGCAATCTAAATAAGACAAAAATATGAGTAAGTTTTTAAAATTTCCTTAAGAGCTCAGGAGAATAACTGGCTGAGAACAAAATTGATTTTATAACTAAACCCAGTTGGTGTAGTGGAATATGGCATACTAGAGGCCCGGTGAAATTCATGCTCGGGTAGGATCCCTAGGGCTGGCTGGTGATCAGGGCCAATCGGGGCCTTCTAGCTGCCAGCCAGGGCCTTCCTTCCGGCTGCCAGCTGGGTCCTCCCTTCCCCGGTTACTCCTGCAGGTATGTTCATATGAGATGAATTCTGTCAGTGAAATAGAAAAGACATAAGTAGTAAGACTAAGTTAAAATATGTCCATCAGGAGAGACTGCTCTGTAGAAGGATAGCAGTCATTAAAAAATGAATTAACTGCCCAGCAAGCGTGGGTTAGTGGTTGAACATCAGCCTATGAACCAGGAGGTCACGGTTCAATTCAGGGTCAGGGCACATGCCTGGGTTGCAGGCTCGATCTCCAGTAGGGGCCGTGCAGGAGGCAGCCAATCAAGGATTCTCTCTCATCACTGATGTTTCTATCTCTCTCCCTCTCCCTTCCTCTCTGAAATCAAGAAAAGTATATATATTTTAAAAAATGAGTTAACTGATACAAGAGAGATGCCATAGAGCTTCAAATGAAACGATGAGCAATTTGTAAAATAATAAAAACCACACTGATGACATATAAGTAAGTGCAATTAATTTCACAATTCTAGGCTTTATAAGCAAGTACTTTTAGAAGTTGTGTCATTTTCTGTTTCACCCTTTCTTTTCGGAGCACACTATTTTAAGATTATTCTTTATGTAAATAAAACATGTTTATTTAAAAGAAAAACTAAAAATTACAGCATTACGTTGGAGGTGAACATTCCCTGAAATCCCACCCTACCTACCCCATCAGCCTAGGTAACCATAGTGAAGTGTACTGTTCCCTCTAGATTTTTTAAAAGCATTTACTAACACATGTGCATGAGTACATTCACTCACATATGTGTACACACACACACACACACACACAGATCCTTCAATACATATAATATTGCAACTTAATTTCTCATTAATATCTTCTGGACATTTTTCTATATCAGTATATATTATACTGGGAAACAATAATTTATTTCTATTTGTCCCTATTGGTAGACATTTAGGTTGTGTTGGGGGGCAGGCGTGTACACTGTATAGCAAACAGTGCTGTAGTAAACATCTTTGTATGAATATTTGCATGCTTTTTAATGAAATCTAGTGGTTTTTTTTTAAGGCCCAGCCTTTAAAACTTTTATAAAGACTTTGATTTGTCTGTGTTCAAGGGTGAAGAATATGCTACTTAAGTCCAACTGTGTCCTGGAAGCTTTCGGAAATGCCAAAACCAACCGTAATGACAACTCAAGCAGGTTTGGGAAATACATGGATATCAACTTTGATTTCAAGGGGGACCCTATTGGCGGACATATCAGTAACTACTTACTGGAGAAGGTAAAATGTGCTTGATTTCTCAGGGTAACATAAGTGCTGAAGGTTGTTTTTATAAACCTAATTATAGAATTTCTTTAATTGCTTCAAAGTAGCTTTTAATCTAATTCTCCCTCTCTTCCTGCTCCTCAGTTAGCTTTCTGTGACAGGATATTCTCCTTTCATGTTCTTTTATTAGCATTTACAATAGGAAGTTCAACAAAGTTACAGATTTTGTAGGTAAAGATTTAGATATGTGAGTGCGAGGGGTGGGTGGTCTGTGAGTGTGTGCCTACTTCTGGGTAAGTTTTAACCAAACACCAATTGAGGACTAATCAGTTCTACCCTTTTTATACATCACCACCTCCCATATGTTTTGGGGTTTTTTGGTTTGTTTGTTTGTTTTTAAAGCATTGCAGAAGAGCTATCATGTTCATTCCCTGAATGACACTCTTTTCAAACAATCATGTCCATACTCTTTTTTAAATTGAGATATAACTGCCATATAGCATTGTACATAGGTTTAAGGTATACAACGTATTGCTTTCCTACTTCCATGTGTTTTACTTCTGATTAATTTGAAATCTCATTTTCGTCTCGTTTCTATTTGTAGCACTCTTTATGGCAGTACAATGCAGTATAGTCCATTTTTGTTTGTGAAATTGAAGTCAGACTAATAAGGAAATTATGTGTTTCTATCAGAGGCAGTTTAAAAAGGACAGGAAGTGCCAGGTATTATAAGGGTTTTTCCAAATGTTTCATGGCTTCACTTAATGTACATATTCTGTCAAGGGGGGCCCTGTGAATGAACATGCATTTTCATAGTAGCAGCCTCTTCATAGCAGTCTTTTGGGAACCACGTCAGGCAGGGGTCTCTATAGACTGATCTTACTCAACTGATTTTATTACAGAATATAAGGCATTGCGCTTTGCAATCCCAGCAGGCCCTGGGGAAGGGAATGTTGAGGCTATTCATCCCTAATTGCTCCTTCCTATTCTCTCCACTTCCAATTTTTCCTCAAAAAAAAAAAATTCATGTTTAGGGTCAAGAACTCTGTTTTAAGCAGTAAAAAGAATTACCAACAAATTGCACAGAAAACCCCATAAAGGAAACCTCGTTCGATGGGTACTGTCCATGGGATCCTCAGGACATTTATACTCACTGTTGATACAGGACTCCCTGAGAGGGTGGCTCCTGTTTTGTTTCAGGGGTACATTCTCAAATTAACAATTTTAATTTGTTTGTTTCTTAGTCTCGCGTGATTGTGCAACAGCCAGGAGAAAGGAGCTTTCATTCTTTCTATCAGGTTAGTCATCTGTGGTGCAGATAATTGATCATTTGCTCAGTTGTGCAGGAAATGAATGTGTTTATGTTGGGGTTCTCCCCTGTCCTCTGCCTCCCTTGCCTCCATTGGCCCATGACACAGCACACGCATGCGCACATCCTACCCCATGTGCATCCTCAGAGATTTGAGTAGCATGACTATGAGACAGAGCTGCCAGGTGGGTAACCAGCCAGGTGACTGCCTTGGTTGAGCAGCGCCTGCATTTCTTTGCAGTGTAGCTAACAGTTAAATGACTTGTAAAAGCTTTTGAAGTGGGACATCCTAAATATGTTAAATTAATTTTGTTTTATTTTGAATTGAAGCTGTTCAATTTGGGAACTTAGAGGTGGGAGCACAAACCCCGTTTATTTTGCTCTTGGAGACTATAAAGCGATATGAGTACTTAATAAAATGAATTTATGATTCACGAGAATTGTTGTCTTTACCCTATCAAAGCTGTGATTGCTTTGGGGAAAAAAACTATGAATACCTCTTTTGGGAATGCTCTTAGCGACTAAGACAGAATCTTTTAGAATAGCCCTCCTGTTGGTAAGTCTTTCTACTGAGAAAACAAATCTGATACATTATTATACTTTTTTAGAGCTCAATGTAATATAAACCAGTGCTTATAAATAAACTGGGTGACCAAATTAAACAATACCATCTTGGATTTTTATAAAATAAAATTATAAATCACTAAGATTGATTTCCACGTGTAAACTTTCACAGTTATCCAATTGTCCTCCTTGCCTGAGACCCAGAGATGGATGAGGAAAAGCTGGTTTTTTCCATTGTGATTCAGCCTATGACTGCCTGCGGGCACCTCTTACTTCCACGGCAATATTGACTTTTCTGAATTCTCAAACACAACTCTAACCTGTCTGGGTATTGAGGCTGCTAAGCAAGTAACCAGCATAGAGCTGGGGCTTCTGTTTTACAGATGACCAGAGGAAAAGCAAAAACCTTTCATGCCAGTTTTGTTGTGAAAGAGCTAAGACTTTCAAAGTTATTTTCTTCATGATTGTATAACATTCTCCATGACTGATAACTACTGAAGCCGTTTACGTTCAGTAGGTAAAAAACAAAAAACGAAACCAAAGAAAATTTTAAAGCTGGAAACAGGAGGACCTCAGTAAATGAAGCCCAGAAAATGAATAAAAGCTCAATTGCCATTGTCAGAACATCTGGTAATTTTGGTTTAGTATGTACTTTGCTCATTTACTTTGCGTTATTTTTCAGCTACTCCAAGGAGGTTCTGAACAGATGCTCCGCTCTCTGCATCTCCAGAAATCCCTTTCATCCTACAACTACATCCATGTCGGAGCTCAGTTAAAGGTGAGCGTTTCCTCTTTGAGATTGTTCAGATACAGAATCAGAGGATGGGAGGGGACATTAAATGATTATCGGGTCCAGCCTGCTGCCTTTAGGCAAATGAATGACTCTTCCCTTATTAAAATTCTCAGAGGCAGAGAGGCAATGCATGATTGACTCGACAACTTTGCCTAATAACCCATTACTTTATCTCATCACCATCTGACAGGAAGTTTCTCTCCTGTGATCTTGTGGTTTCTTTTCATTTTTAATCCTCTTCTTTTATTTTGACACTATAAAAATGTTACTGTATGATTAGGAAATCCACCTCAAAAGAAAATACCATGTGATTTGGCCAAAGGCAAGTTGTTAAGACAAGAGAAAATTTAAGAACATTTTGGTTGAAATGACTATCAAAGTTCTCCATTCACTATTTTTTCAGCTATTGATGTAGCCTAGCAGTAGTTTTTGACCTTTGCAGCATTTCCGTTTAGCTTTGACGTTTTACCTTTTTTCCCCCCCTTCCCTTGCATACGAGTCCTGGCACGCAATGCAGGTACTTTTTGCTTTTATTTTAGTTGGTTTTCTGCTGGTCAGAAAATCCTAATAATAGTTTGTTGATGGTAGGATATGAAACAATAGTCACAGTATTATCCTAATTTGTTGGGGGAAGGTACTGTTTACAAATACATAAAATATGATATAGAGAGAAATAGATCAACATTTTAATAGTTTATTCTGGATTGATGGTATTACAGATATTTGTGTTCTGCTTTTCCATATTTTAAATGTCTTCTATAATTAAGAATGCATTGGGGGGAAAATAAAAGAATATATAAAAGGCAGGGATCTAAGATGTGGGAGGTGTTCTTTTTATTTCAAAATGTTTATTATTCATCTTAAGCTAATGATACCTGCATTACTAGTTTACCTGTATTTTTATTGCCGTGCATAGAAATAAATTATATTTAGGGTTTTGCAATTAATTTTCTATCGTTTGACATTTAAGTTGCATGGTTTTTTTTTACTTTTATATTCATCAGAGAACAGGGTATTTGGCCAGAAATTAATTAAAAACAAAACATTAGAGGACAACACTCCAGCTTCTGAGATAGGCCAGAGGTACTAAAGATGCATAAAGGACTGTACATCCAACACTTAAAAAACATTCCTTTTTATCAAATTGTCTTATTGACCAAATTACTTTTGGCCAGGTCATACAGAGCCCCTTCCCCAACTGTCTCCCTTCCTCCCCCCTCCCCCCCGAGAAAGCAAGAATTAAATGAACATTTAACCTTCTCTCTAAGCTAAATTTAGTTTAGGTTCCCTTTTCATCAAAGTTTTCCATTCCTCCTTTTTATTTCTTCCTCTCTAATAAAAACAAAGACTTATATACACGGGCATAGTGTCATCTTAAAAAAGATTAACCTAAAGGAAACAAAATATTCTGAAGCCTACCATCCAGTAACCTCTGATACTTGTCCAGTTTTTTTTATGTGTTAAAAACTAAGCAGGTGCTTTCTATGAATTCTCATTCAGTTCTCACAGCAGTCCTGTAAGAAATATGTTATTATGTCCATTTTACCCATGAGGAAATTGAGACTCAGGGAGGTGAAGTGTCTTGCCCAGGGTCAAAGAACAGGTAGGTGGAGGACCTTGCGAGTTTGTGTCCCAGACACTGGAGGACCCCTTCCTGTGCCCTTTCTCAGCAGGTGAGAAACTTGCCAGGGAAAGGGCCAGTCGGGCCCACCAGGTGCTGCTTTGGGAGAACTTCGAAGATAGGCAGTTGCCATTGCTTCCTTGTGAATTTCTGTTAATACACTAACCTGCTGGCTACAGCTCCTCAAGGCTTAGTCCCGTCGGCTGCTACAACAAAAATACCATAAGCTGGGTGGCTTATAATACACAACAGATCTTTATTTCTCACAGGCTGGCAAGTCCATGATCAAGGTGCCTGCAGATTCAGTGTCTGGTGAAGGCCCGCTTCCTGGTTTATAGATGGCGCCTCCTCACAGGGCAGGAGGGACAATAAATCTCTGTGCCTCTTTGATAAAAGGGCACTAACCCCATTGTGAGGGCTCCACCCTCATGACCTCATCGCTTCCCGAAGGCCCCGCCTCCTAAAATCATCGCCTTTGGGGTTAGGATTTCAACTTGGGAATTCTGCGGGGACACAGGCATTTCATCTATAGCAAGCCCCCTGAACCAGTTAGAAGGTCAGATGCACTGAATGTCTGTGAAAAGGTGAAATTATAGGCCCAGACTATTGACTGCTAGCTTCACTGAATGATTGAGGCAGGTTGCTTTGCGTTGAGAGTCTTCTTTTCCTCACCTGTGAAATAGAAAGCCTGGCCATGCAGGAGAGGGAGTGCTGTTTCCAGCCTCGGCAAGACCGAGTGAGGGACCAAAGGCCCAGGAGACGATGCCAAGCATGTGTGTGTCTTGGAGGCTCCACAGCCAGGGTTTCCCTTTGGAGCTCACATCCCCTGCTGTTTCCTTCCTTCATCCCAGAGCAGCGATCCCCTTCGCTGAGTCAGCTTACGACTTGCTCCCTCCTGGAGGGACCTCACCGGGGCCATCCCTACCTCACCGGGACCGTTTCAACCTCACCGGGGCCGTCCCGACCTGGAAATCATTTTTATTTTCTCTGCATTCTCAATGACGTACGACACAAGCATCAAGACCTTGATTAAACTTAAATTTCGTCTCATCATTGTTTTAATGCTCATGTGAAATGCCTGTGACAACTTTTCCATTTTCATTCCTAGTCTTCTATCAATGATGCGGCCGAATTCAAAGTGGTAGCTGATGCCATGAAAGTAATTGGCTTCAAACCTGAGGAGATTCAGACGGTGTATAAAATTTTGGCGACTATTCTTCACTTGGTGAGTAGGGACGTCTCTCAGAATCTGTCACCTCCCTGTGGAGGTAGGATGCTCTTTCAGAAGAGTTTGGGTGGTTTTTTTTCCCCCCTGTAGATTTCAGAAGTAACGTTTTGAAGAAATTTCTCCATCAAGAGTTCTCTCCACCATATAATAATATTTTCCAAGCCACAGTAGGATTTGAGACTGTGGCTTGACTTAATTATCTTATTGGTATGTCTGACTTTGAAGTGGTTCATCTCAAGAATGAAAGAATTCAGCAACGATGTGACTAAAAACTTTTGGACAGAATAAATTCCTAACAGCATTGGAAACATTGGAGCCATAGATTATTGGAACCAGAGTTTTGATGGTTTCGTTTTGCAGGTTCGGGGATGAGCCCAACGGGGGGCAGCATGACTGGGTCAGAGGCACAGAGTTCACGGCCGCCAGCACCATGGACCACGCTGGCCGCATTATGGTCCAGTTGTTTTCCACGACCCCACACCAAGCCCAGAGGAAGGGAAGAACCCTGGGTTAGATTTCTTTCATTAACCATCTGTGCAGGGGTGGGCAAAAGTAGGTTCACAGTTGCATTGTGACATTCTTTTGGGTTAATACAGCTGTTGTAATCATCATAGTCTGCATGTCTTTTTCCATGCAAACAACTGTCAACCAACTTTGGCCCGCCCCTGTATATTTGGACATGTTTAAAACATAATGAACATGCAACCTTACAATAAATGAGTGACAGCATGAATTCAAATATGGAATAAAAATTACCTTGCACTTTACCATAAGATTTAACTCTAAATGAATCAGGACCTATATAAAAATACTATGCAGCAATATAAATGATACCTTATGTTTCTGACTGGGAGACTTTAATGTGATAAATTGTCTCATTCATAAAACTACTTTATAAATATAGTTAAAACAGTATCTTCCGGAATCCAAATAGAAATTTTGTTTTGAAGTTGCCATAATCGTTCTAGAATTTACCTGAAACAATAAACATGTAAGAGGAGCAAATAAAAATGTATTAAAGAAGAAGAGTAGAGTAGGGGGAAGCGGGGAGAAGAAACATGACTAATTTTTACCAGATTTTAAGTGATAATAAAAGCTACAAAACCTTAAAACTTGTTGCAAAATTCACCAGCTTAATCAGCCGATTAGCTGATATGCTGGACACTTGGTTAGTAAGTGTTTCTTGAATGAATGGAATATAAATAGACTCAACAACTTGGGGAGGATTTAAATATAATAGTGGTAGCATTTCAAATCAGGACGAAAAGCTGAACTATTCAATAAGTACTATTGGAGCAACTAACAAACTGTCAGAAAAAACAAGGTTAGACTCTTACTTTACCTCACATACAGACAAATTCTAGGTGGACCCAAAGCTTAAATGTACGAAAAAACTGTTCAACTACTAGAAGAAAATATTGAATACTTATAAAATCTTTGGAGTGCAGATGGTCTAAGTATGACACCCAAGAAAGATTCATAAGGAAAAGATGCATAGATTTGACTACATCAAAATATAAAACATCTACCCATCAAAAACATATACTGAAAGTTAAAAGAGACAGCTTTCTGTTGAAGAGAGGAAAAATAATGGATGAAGCACTAGGTATTTACATGTCATACCAAAGGCCCGGTGCATGAAATTCATGCACGGGGGCAGAGTGGGGGGGGTCACTCAGCCCGACCTGTACCCTCCCCAATTCGGGAGCCCTCAGGGGATGTCCTACTGATGGCTTAGGCCCACTCCCCATGGTTCTCTGCTGTCTGCAGGGCCCACTTGACGGCTCCCGGGTCGCTGGGGCGCCGGCCAAGCAGGCCCTGCTCTCAGTGGCCACCCCCCAGGACCAGAGGACTCCAGCGGGGCTGAGAGGACTGGGCGCCGCCATCTTTGTGTTGGAGTGATGGTTAATTTGCATATTACTCTTTTATGAGATAGGATATTTAGGAAAATATGTGCTACAGACAAAGTCACTTTGCATTATATAACTGTATCCCTGACATACTGTTTCAGAATCTCATTGGCAATGGTGTGTCTCATTTCTTCACTCCTGGTATAGGGAAATTTAAAGTTTGTAGTGGATGGTGACACGCCTCTCATTGAAAACGGCAAGGTCGTATCCATCATAGCAGAATTGCTCTCCACCAAGACGGACATGGTTGAGAAAGCCCTTCTTTACCGGACTGTGGCCACAGGGCGTGACATCATTGACAAGCAGCACACGGAGCAGGAAGCGTGCTACGGCAGGGACGCCTTCGCGAAGGTGGGATTTCAGCTCGTGTTCTCTGGGCCTGGTGTGGGTCTCAGTTTCATTTTATCTTATTTACTTTTTAAAAAAATATTTTTATTGATTTCAGAGAGGAAGGATGAGAGGGAGAGAGAGAAACATTAATGATGAGAGAGACTCATTGATTGCCTGCCTCCTGCACACCCCCTCCTGGGGATGGAGCCCACAGCCGGGCACGAGCCCCGACCGGAATTGAACCGTGACCTCCTGGTTCATAGGTCTACGCTCAATCACTGTGCTATGCCCGCCAGGCTCAGTTGCAGTTTTAGTGAATTGCTGTGAGGATGTGTTTAGAGGTCCCTTGAAAGTAGCTTCAGGCTTTTAGAGACTTTGGTCATGATACTTTTTGGCCATCACAGTCTACATCAACACCCCTGACTGTGAGCATCTCTGTTCGAAAATGATCTGAGAAAAGCAAAGCTGACCGACCGACTGGCAAGCCCAGGGCACTTGCTTTGTGGGTCCCTCGCTCAGATGGTCCCCTCTCACACACCCCATTTTGCTTCTCTCACTCAATAATGCTTCGTGGAAGGCCCCTTCAAGTCCACGGATGGCGTCTGCTCCATTCTGTTTGTCTGTGTACCAGTGTGCAGTGATGGTTCCATCATGTATTAGCCGTCCTCCTCCTAAGGCATTCACCTTGTTGCCTTCATTGCCACTGCAAACAATGCTGCAATTGGCCCTGTACATCTCTCTCTCTCTACACACAAGTGCTTTTATTTCAGTTGGATGGACGCCCAGGAATGAGCTTGCCAGACCAAAGGACATGCTGATTTTAAATGTTAAATTTACTGATTTTTATGGGTACATAGTTATAGCTCATTCTTACTTTAATTTTCATGACTAGTGTATCTGAGCATCTTGTCATAGAAGGTATTTAAATCTACTCTGAGTATTGCCTGGCTCTCTCCTTTGTGCATGCGTCTTTGGGGCTGTTACCTTTTTATTGTCCGTTTCTAAAAGCTGGTCACTTTAACCCTTGGTCTGTTTTCTGCATGGCAAACATTTTAATTTTTTCAAGTCTAACATTTTCTTTTCTATTTTGCTGGTTGATGAGATTGCTTTCTGTTCCACTTTTTATTTGTGTAAGTCTCGGGTGTGGTTTTTAGTCTTGGGAAGAATTTGAATGCATCTCAGTGCAATGGAGAGTGGAGGATTTGAAGGTGGGACAGTGCCATCAAATTTGAATTTTTAAAATGATCATTCTGACCTCAGTATGGAGAATCTTAGGGGAGGAGGGGAGGGGGGAGGGCAAGAATGGTAGCAAAGAGACCAATTAAAAGGGGACGTTTCAATAATCTAGGAGAGAGACAGCGACAGCCTGGCCTAGGAAGGCAGCAGTGGCAGTGGGGAGAAGAGGGTGAGTTGAGACCAACTGTGTTTGGAAAATAAAATTCACAGGACCTGTTTGTCTGGAGAATGAAGAAATCAAGGGAATTCCTTAACGTGGTCTGGCTCCAGCCTACCTCTCCTGCCTCTGTTCTTCACTCCCGCACATGAGCCTTCTCTAAGGCCTTACACGTTGTATTCATCCCTTTCTCCTTCGGCCATAGCTCCCTGCACGTGCGGTTTCCTCTGCTCTAATGGTTCTTCTCTCCCCTCTCACCTGGTAACTCTCACTCATCCTGATCTCAGCCCACTTTCTCAGGGAAGCCTTCCCTGGCCTCTCTGAACACTGAACAGGCTCAGTTCTCCTCAGATCTCACACACCTGTCCTTTAGAGTGAGTCAGTGTGTGTGCGTGCATGCATGTGATTTTCCCTTCACCTGGCTCCTTAAGCTCCTTGGAGAAGACCATGTCTATACTTGCTTAGCACCGTATCGTCAACAAACTGCACATAGCAAGTCCTCAGCAACTATTTGTTGACTGAATGAATAAATTCCTCTGTTTCTTTTGCCATTTATTCATGGTTAAAAGTAGGATAGGAGCAGTTTTGGGGGGTGGGGAGATGATGGTGTCAGGTCACGCATAGGCATCTGGAGCTCGGAGGAGAGGTCTGCGTTGGGATAAGACATTTGGGAGTAGTGTGTCACTGCTGTTTAATTTTGGGTGAAACCACTTGGAGAGGTGTTAGAGAGCGAAGAGAAGAGGGCCAGGAGGAATGCCCGCCTTCAGAGGTCAGGTGGAGGAGGACCTACCAAAGGTCCCCAAGAAGGAGCAGCCAGTGAAATAACAAAACTAGAGAAGTGTGGTATCCTGGATCCCAGGGAGGAGGAGTTTTCCAGAAGAATGGGGCACTCAGGTGAGGAGTGCTGAGTATCTGAATGAGAGGACCTTCTAATGCAGAGGTTCTCAACCTGTGGGTCAAGACCCTTTCACAGGGGTCGCCTAAGACCATCGGAAAACACATATATAATTACATATTGTTTTTGTGATTAATCACTATGCTTTAATTATGTTCAATTTGTAACAATGAAATTGGGGGTCACCACAACATGAGGAACTGTATTAAAGGGTCGCGGCATTAGGAAGGTTGAGAACCAATGGGACAAGAAAGGGTGTCTCTAGGGATGCTCGGGGTCCTTGATGAGCCGTCTTGGTGGATTAGTGGGAGCTAAGCGAAGACCGGAGTGGATTACAGAGAGAAGGGGCGGTGATGAGTGGAGCAGTGTGTATAGATGTGGACCAGTAGAGAGGGAGGTGGCTGGAGGGAGCTGGTAAGGAAAGGCTTTCTAAGGGTGTGACATTGCAAAGCATGTTTGTACCAGGATATGGCTCTGTGTTCATGTGCAGTGCCTTTGTCCACGTATGACTTGGCATGTATATCCTTGTGTATTGGATATGTGTTTGATTCTCAGGGAATGTCAAACTGTGGCCTTTAGCCCAGGTCTTTATGTAGCATTATAAATCAATATTTGCATTTTTCAAATTTACAGAGCTTTCGCAGAACGTAGTTATTAACTCGTTGCTTTCCCACTTTTTAGATTCAAAACAAAGCAAGGAAGTGACTTACCTGGGGGAGTAGGCAAATTATTGAAATAGCTGAGTATGGAAATGTACCTGGGGAATGTTGTTGGAATACAATAAGCATAATACTGATAATAATCTTAAAAACTCAAACCATTTAGTTTTGCATCCATTACATTGCTTTTTTTTATCAGACAATCTGCATTTTGTATTGTTCTGCTTCGGGTAATAACAGCTATGCTAAATGTTAAGAAGGAGAAGGAGAGGAATTTAAAACATATCACAACCGAAACAGAGACTCAATCCCAAACCAGCAAGAATTTATGATGTTGTTTTCCTCACAGGCAATATACGAGCGCCTTTTTTGTTGGATTGTGACTCGCATCAATGATATTATTGAGGTCAAGAACTATGACACCACAGTGCATGGGAAAAACACTGTTATTGGCGTATTGGATATCTATGGCTTTGAAATCTTCGACAACAACAGGTAAACGGGTTAAATACTTACAACTCTATTGTTTACTTTTGACCTGTCCAGTGTGGGTAAGTGGTTGGAGGGTCAGCCTGTGCACCAAAGGGACTCGGGTTCGATTCCCAGTCAAAGGCACCTACCTGGATTGCAGGTTCGACCCCTAGCCCCAATCGGGGTTGGTGTGCGAGCCAGCCAATCAATGTGTTCCTCACATTGATATTTCTCTCTCTCTCTCTTTCTCCCTCCCCTTCTCTCTCGCTCCCTCTCACCCCCTCCCCATCTAAAAAAATCAATGGAAAAATATCTTCAGGCCCATCTGGTGTGCTCAGTGGTTGAGCATTGACTTATGAACCATGAGGTCATGGTTCGATTCACCTTCAGGACACATGCCCAGGTTGCAGGCTCATTTCCCAGTAGGGGGCGTGCAGAAGGCCAATCAATGATTCTCATCATTGATGTTTCTTTCTCTTCCTCTCCCTTCCTCTCTCTGAAATCAATAAAAATATATATTTAAAAAATATCTTCAGGTGAGGATTAACCAAAAAACCTTGCTGTTTACTTTTTTTTCTTTTCTCAAATATTTTTATTGATTTCAGAGAGGAAGGGAGAGATAGAAACATCAATGATGAGAGAGAATCATTGATTGGCTGCCTCCTGCACACACACCCCTCACCCCTCCGGGGATGGAGCCTGCAACCCGGCCAGTGCCCTTGACCAGAATCGAACCCAGGACCCTTCAGTCTGCAGGCCGATGCTCTATCCACTGAGCCAAACCAGCGAGGGCCTGCTGTTTGCTTTTTATTTGTTTAAGCATAATGTATTCCTTTCTTGCAGCTTTGAGCAGTTCTGCATCAATTACTGCAACGAGAAACTGCAGCAGCTATTTATTCAGCTGGTTCTGAAGCAAGAACAAGAGGAGTACCAGCGAGAAGGGATCCCCTGGAAGCACGTGAGTGCACCTCTGGGGACAATGTCCAGGCCCGTCACACATGATGATAATGCCAAATCCTATACCATTTTTTAAAAGGCATTTTTAAAAATCTGTCTGGGTACATGAAACAACAACATTTCAGCTTTTCTTTTGGGGATGTGTAAATACATTTCGTTTTCAGGGTAGGTAGATGGGTTTTTCCTAATTTAAAAGACTCCCTTGTTGGTGCCCAGAAAATGCTGAGTTTTAATCAGTAACCTTAACATCTCCACTTTATGGCGAGTACCACATGGGTTTTCTGGTTCACATATGTCTGTTAAGAGTTCAGCATCATTTATAAGTTATTCAGAGCAGCAACTTTTGCCTTAAACTGGCTGAACTTTGCTTCCAGATTTAGTTTCTTCTCCTTCCTCTTTTTCTTTCTTTTTCTCCTGTTACTCCTTTTTTTTTTTTTCCTCCTTCTCGGCTTTGTTAGCTACATGACATGGTATTGTCCTCAGTGGATGTTATTCCTGTTCTCTGAAATCCCTGCGTGAAACACTTACATTCAGTTCATTTCCGTTTCTTTCCTGCGTGTCACAGTTCCACTCTCACCTCTCTTTTCGTGGCTCTTTGTGAACTGTAATATTTGTCAGAGTCACACTAGCCTGGTAATAACGTCACCAGAATGCAGGCCTGGTCTCAGGTGCAAATCCAGAGATCACCGCTAAAAAGCATGACAATCATGATGGAAATGAGACCTAGTAATTTTTCTTTTGAATTTTTGTTTTAAACAATTTTAAGAACAGATTTGAGCCATGCAAAAGCATTGGAGCGTCCCTGTGTTTCTGTGTTTATAAAACTGTGTTTATCCTCTTGTCAAAGAGTAGAGACAATAAAAATAAAGTCAGTATTTATTTTGTGATATTCAACATGATAGCAGTAAAAAAACTATTCGAAAGGCCGTATTTTAATCACTTTTATATTCCTTTTTACCTTCCCACTGTCCCTCTCCTCTCATTCGGAAAAAGGAAGCAATGCTAGTGTCCCTGCCTCAGATTGCCTCTTTGCCTTGCATTTGTTAAACATTAGAATGCCGTAAAATTTTCTCCAAGTATATCAGTATAAATTTTGCCTATTTCAAATAAACCAAAGTGTGCTATGACTTTATAATAGGATTACCTACCATTTTGATTTAAGGAGTGAACTCTTACAACACAATTCAGATGTAACTCAGTGGAGTTTATATGCAGCGTTCTCAGAATGAATGTGTTGTACAACACCCAATTAAAACTGAGACTTAGGTTTTTATAGCAAATTGAATTATAAAACTTGCTACCCAGATGTGATTCAGAGATACTGGTCAAAAATATCCTTTAATCATCAGAGTATCAAATTCCACCGACATGGTTGATAAAGAGAAAAGTCAACAATTGCAGGAAGCGATTTCAAACATCTGAAAAGGGAGCAAAAGCACTGAACACGCAAAAATTTTTAGCGAAATAAACCAAGAAATACGTGACCTCGGGAGAGCAGAAGCCTGACCCTATGCCAGCTCCCCCTAGATGAGAATCACTATTCTGGGCAAGTATTTCCTTTAAGAACCCCAGACTTCTGAACATAGTGATTCATTCTTTTTTTTTTTTTTACAGAAATTTCAAATATATGATCTAAAAGCAGAGATCATAATATAATAAACTTAATGTATGCATCACCCCACTTTAACAGTCATCAGTGGACTGTACCCACCCACCCCCAGAGCATTTTGAAGCAAGTCTCACACTGTGATGTGACAATAATGTGACTTATTTCATCTGTAAATATTTCAGTGTATTTCTCTAAAAACCATAAGCACAATACCATTATCACACCTAAAATATTAACAGTAATTCCTTAGTGTCACATGTTCAGTCAGTGTTCAGATTTCACATTTTTCTCAATTGTCTTAGAGTTCTTTTGTTTTGTTTTTACAGTCTGTTTGAATTTGGATCCAAATAAAGCTCCTATACTGTGGTTGGCTAATAGGTCTCTCACATATCTGTAGATTTTCTTCACCCAGTGTCTGTCTGTCTCTCTCTCTCTCTCTCTCTCTCTCTCTCCCTCTCTCTCTCCCTCTCTCTCTCTTTTTCCTTATAATCTTTTGTTGAAGATTACGGGTCCTTTGTTTCGTTGTGTTTCCCGAGTCTGGATTTTTCTGATCAGATTCCTGAGCTGTCATCGACTATGTTTCTCTGTTTTTTGTATGTCCTTGGTTGTTAGATCTAGAATCTCGACCAGGTTCAGGGGCCAGTGTTTTTCTACCGATGGTGTGTGAACTCTCCCTGGGAGGCACACATATCTGGTTGTCTAAGTGATTCCATTTTAAAAGCCCTTGGTGCCGTAGTTTGCAGGTCACCTTTCGCTGTTGAGAACTTGACTCTCAGCACAAAGCTGCTTAACTTGGACTGGGACTGGGGGGCCCAGAGCCTGCCCCCCACATCTCTGCTTGCCCCTAGGCCCCTAAGAAACCTCCTGGAGATGCCAGTTGCTGGAAGAAACTGGTTTGGAAGCCACTACTTTAAGCAGCATGAAACTTACGAACTAACAGTTACTGGACTCTTTAGCAAAGATGAGTCACTTTTGGTTTATATCATTAGAATTGTAGGGAACCTACTTCTTTGTCCCTGGGACAAAAGACTTAGTCTCTAACTCCCCCATCCCAAAGTCTAAAATTTCAGCTATTCATTAATACAGAGTTCTTGCTTTTTGAGTATTTTAAGGATATTTTTCCAAAAGGTGGAAATAACTTTTCTTCCTAATTAGAAATGTAATAAATGCCACAAGAAAGGTAAATATTTAGGCCAGGACTTCTCCGTCACTGTACTAGCGACATTTGGACCAGACCCGCCTTTGACGTGAGCCTGTCCTGTGCACTGTAGGATGTTTATTTAGCAGCATCCCTGGCCTCTTCCCACTGGAGGCCCGTAACACTCTCTAGATGTGACCATTACAAATGTCAGCAGACAGCCCAGCTGGTGTGGCTCTGTGGTTGAGCATCGACCTATGAACCAGGAGGTCACGGTTTGATTCCCAGTCAGGGCACATGCCCACGTTGTGGGCTCGATCCCCAGTGTGGGGTGTGCAGGAGGCAGCCAATCAATGATTCTCTCTCATCATTGATGTTTCTATCTCTCTCTCCCTCTCCCTTCCTCTCTGAAATCAATAAAAATTGGAAAAAAATTGTTTTAAATGTCAGCAGACATTAGGTTGCCAAATATCCCCAGGGCCCTAAGTCACCCTCTATTGAGAACCACTGATTTAGACAAACCAGAAGAGTACAAAAAAGAAAGTAAAAGCCACCCATTTTGAGACTTTGTGTCTGTAAAATAGAAAAGAATTTAAAAGACTAGGAATGGAGCTGAAAACCACAGACAAATAACCGGCATGAGTCCTTGATTTTAAATAGCATGGAACAGGAATACTGAGGCACTTTAATAGTCTATTTTGAGTGTATGGATTTTACAGAAGTTAATAGAGACAGCTCTCAGTTCAGGCACCTGGTCAATGAGATGGAGCACATTAACACAGAGATTAACACTAAGATTAACACATTAACAGAGATTAACACATTTACACTAAGACAATCAGCTGCCCATCCTCACATGAGGCACAGCTCGCCCGGCCAGGCCCCTGTGCTCTCTGTGAGCTGCAGGTGATGTGTGAGCTGCAGGACATCAGAATGAACAGGTGTAGGAGAGAATTGTTGTATAAGCCAGCAGTCACCAACCAGTGGTCCACGGACCACTGCTGGTCCACGAGGTCCGAAAGGTTGGCAACCGCTGATGTAAACCCTGTGTGTATTGAAGTTGCCAAAAAGCCAGGAGTTACTTATAACTTTATTCAGCTCATGGAAGTAAATGAAAAGACCATTCTTACCTCTTATAGATACTTAATCTCAGCATTACATTCTTTATGGTATATCCTGAAAAACCTCAAAGCTCTGTTATACCCATATAGGCTTGTTAACTTTGGGAAACTGGAGGGGAATACTCCTTTGGGTTTTAATCCAAGTCCATAGAATGCAAGTTCTGCGTAATACCTTCACTTCGTCAAATTACATGTCAAATGCCACTTTAAGGTTATTGGCTGGCACTTAGTGCAGTCTGGGTCTTGTGGTTAATGGCAAGCAGATTAGAGGATTGAGAGTCTGAAGGAGCAGGGTCAGGTGCAGGAGGCAGAGACAAGATTCAAACAGCAGGTAGTGATGGGAGAAACGTTACCCACTTTATAATTTTTGCCTGGACCTGTTCTCATCGAAGACAGTGTCTCCTGTTGCAAAGAAGCCTCTGAGGGAATTTGAGTGTCAGACCTCACAGGTGTCATTCACATGTTTACCATGGAGGGAGCTTGACGTAACTGATGCGCACGGGGCACTGGTGTTTCCGGTCCGGCCCCTGCCCCCTTGGGCATTGCCTCTGTGCTGTGTCCCGCAGATCGACTACTTCAACAATCAGATCATCGTGGACCTGGTGGAGCAGCAGCACAAGGGGATCATCGCCATCCTGGACGACGCCTGCATGAACGTCGGCAAGGTCACCGACGCAATGTTCCTCGAAGCACTGAACAGCAAGCTGGGCAAACATGGGCACTTCTCCAGCCGCAAGGTAACATGTGTACTGAGAACGTCCTCTTGCGTTCGTGCGTGAGGTTTTCCGCATTGTGTGGCAGACTTAAATGACTTCCTATGTTGGGTTATCACAACTGTGTGTCCAGTCAACGCAGGCCATAAGCATCCAGTGAAAGATTTATTGCTGCGGATAAATTCTGCCTTCTCTGATTTATAGGAGGACAAGGTTGATAAAACTCATATCATCCAGGAGAGGGCGCTCCAGACTGCTCAATTGACTAGAAATAGGAAAAAGGATGATGTCATTGCTAACCAATAGGTACAGAGTCCTTGTGCATGTGCTCGATTTTGCTCCCGCAGCCCTGATCATCATTCTGGCACTGAAAATAGCTTTTGTCCTCGACTTTTTACTATAGCCCTCAGCTAGCCGATGTGGTATGTGTGCTTTGCCAGACTATGACTTTCTTAAAAACAGAGAAATTCTAGCTGTAATTCTAGTTGTTGCAAGGAAAGTCATTCCTTAAATGCATGGGTATATTTTTTAACCACCCCCTCCCCCCATTTTTCACATTCTAAAAAAAAGTGTTAGCTATAGATCCTATTTCTGAATAATTGGTGGCAGTTGTGGTTGTCAGACCTTTGTGCTCTGCCTCGCATGGTAGTATACCATTAATATTTGTCCTAGGAGGGGGTACACCATCATCCCCAAGTGTTTCCTACAAATGCAGGCTTGTCTAGCAGCCATAAGCTAGAGGAAAACCAGTCTCCATTCTTCCTCACTTCCACGGAAATGGGGCACACATTTCTGCTCCTCCGTCATCCCATGTAAATCTAGGGTGCACTCCATTGTTCAGCACGAAGAAATCTGTTCTCTAACTTCATCCCCTTTGAAATTATGTCATCAGAATAGGAGGATTCCACAGTTAACTAGACAAAGCACAAACCATCCAGATACCGATTACTAGCTGATATTTATTTTAGGACAGTTTATTTCTAAAATATTCTCCTTGGTCTGCTACTGAGGAATGACTTGCAGCCCTACTACAAGTCGATTTTCACATACTACTATCCCTTTAGTTGTTCCCCATTTATAATGCAAATACTAAGTGCCTCTCATTTTTCAGGTACAATCCTGGGTGTTGGGGACAGAGCAGTGACCAAAGTTGGAAGCAACCTAAATCCTTTAGCATGATGTTGTTAGAGATGGCATGATTACGCGGGCCCCGTTTTGGAGGACTGGGTTAAAAATGTCCTTTGTAATCACTGTTCAGGTTTTGGAGACTCGCCTAGAATTGTGCCTACCAGATGATAGACCATCAGTGTTTGTCAAATTTGAAATGAATTGGTCATGGTCATACCAAATAAATCTTACAGAATATTGAATTTTCAATTAACACATGCAAGGCTCTACCTCATTTTAAAAAATAACTGTGACTCTCCCATGAGAAATCACCTCATTTTTTATATGTGTTACCTTGGCCATTTATACACATGAATTAAACGTGTCAACCAAGTATTTTGAAATATAATCTTATTCTTAAGGTAGCAACTGTACATAGTGCGTTTAAGCAGTTGCTACTGATTTGATCGGAAATGTTGAACAGTTATTAATCTGTAGAGATGGGATTCCCTCTCCTCTCTCTCTTTCTTGCCTCCTTCCCTTCCTCCCTCCCTCCTTCCCTCTCCCTCTTTCTATTTCTCTTTCACCTTCTTGTTTAAATGTGGGAGCCTGGGTTTGGCCATCTCTTGGACCAGGTGGCTCCTTCCTCCAGCATCATCTCCCAGACAAGCACTAAGATGGGGAATTTTTAAATGTGTTATTTTCTGGGATTTTTGCCTAATGAAGGAAAGAAGTGAAATAACCAAGCTGTCAGAATATTTTCATCACTGTGAATCCAAATGTAAGAATATTTAATTGGTACAGGCATATCTTGGGTCCTTTTCCTTTGGGGATTTTATAAATAAAAGGGGTTTTATAAAAGTTGGTTGGAGTGTTGTCCCATACTCTAAAAATTTTGTGGGTTAATCCCCAGTTGGAGCACATACCTAGGTTGCAGGTTCCATCCCTGGTCGAGGTACATACGAGAGAGAGCTAATGATGTCTCTCTCTCTCAAAAAAAAACATACCCTTGGATGAGGACTTAAGAAAAAGCAAGAGGTTAATAAGAGAGAGAGGAATCAAGGTTGATCTCTAAGCAGTGACAGGCCTGAACTGGGGTCCCAGCTTAGCAGAAGGGAGATGAGCCAGGCTACTGTGTGCATGGGAAGCACAGACATTACATTCGGTCCCAGGGATCCTTCCCAGAGCTACCAGTTAATGGTTGTGTGACCTTCTGCCAATTGCCTGACTTCTTTGAGCCTTAGTTTCCTTGTGTGAAAAGGAAAGCTCATGATACTTACTTCAAATATCAGTTGTGAGGATTGAAAGATGTACATGCCTGGCAGACAGCAAGCACTTAAATGCCCTCCTTAAGTGGAACATGGAGAATGAAACCATATTAGTCAGGGTAGGCTGGGCTGCCGAGAGCCCTGTCTCAGTTGGTTGGGCATCTTACCATGCACCAGGAGGTTGCTGGTTCGATTCCCAGTCAAGGGTACATGCCCAGGTTGTATGCTTAATCCCCAGTAGGGGGCACGCAGGAAGCAGCTGATTAATGTTGTACTCTCACATTGATGTTTCTCTCTCCCTTCCTCTCTCTCTAAAAATCAATAAACTATTCTTAAATATATATATATACTCGTGGCCCAGTGCACAACATCTAGCAGTCAGACATCCCCCGAGGGGTCCTTAGCACTGCCATGGAGGCGGGAGAGGCTCCCACCACTGCTGCTGTGCTCGCCAGCCGTGAGCCTGGCTTCTGGCTGATCGGTGCTCCCCCTGTGGGAGCACACTGACCACCAGGGTGCAGCTCCTGCATTGAGCGTCTGTCCCCTGGTGGTCAGTGCACATCATAGCAACCGGTCGTTCCACCATTCAGTTTGCATATTAGCCTTTTATTATATAGGATACTAGAGGCCCGATGCATGAAATTCTTGCAAGGGGCTCGGCCCTCACAACCCCGGCTTCATCCGGAAGGTCGTCCGGACGGTCATTCTGCTGTTCGGTCTAATTAGCATATTAGCTCTTAATTATAAAGGGTATATGATAGCAGCCAAGATTTAGGTATCATAGACAATAGAAGTCTATTTCTCTTCCAAGGACCCAAACTTCTTTCATCTTCTGCCTCTTCCATCCCCTGTGTCCTTCTTTGCATCCAACTAGTGGGAGGAGAAAAAAAAGTACAGAGGACGATTGCCCTGGAACAGCCTCACCTCACTTCCACTCACCTTCCATTGTCCAGAACTTGGTCATTTGCCCATACTCCACAGCAGGGGGTGCTGTGTGGGTTTCTAGTGAAAGCTCCCAGTCGTTACCACACAAGCAGAATATTTAAATCAAGCCCCACACAGTGTGATTTCATTCATAATGATATCACGATGTTGTAACAAAATTATCTTCTTCAGTGAAATTGGAATATATTTTTAGGAAAGTGTAAATGGCTGTTTTAAAAATAATCTCCTTGATTTCTTAGCTCTGTGCCTCAGACAAAATGCTGGAGTTTGATCGGGACTTTCGAATCCGACATTACGCAGGGGATGTAGTGTGAGTATCTTACTTTGGCACCTAATGTGATGTTTGCATGCAACCTCACTTCAGAAATTATAACCAGGGGGAAATATAGGTTGTTTTCCTGTTCATTTGCATTATTTTCAGTCATTTTATAGGCCTCCTTTAATCTTTCCACTTAAAAATAAAAATTGGCATCGCTTCATGCATTCCTTGCTTTTCAAACATTTATTGAGCACACACTGTGTGGCCATGCACAGCTCCTGGCATAGTTGTTCGTCAGTCAAAATCAACAGATGGATAAATAAACCAAGTTAAGGACTAGGATAGAACAATAGATGAGATGGGCCTTTCTCCGAAGAAGGTAATAGTGTAGAGCAGCGGTTCTCAACCTGTGGGTCGCGACCCCTTTGGCGGTCGAACGACCCTTTCACAGGGGTCGCCTAAGACCATCCTGCATATCAGATATTTACATTACGATTCATAACAGTAGCAACATTACAGTTATGAAGTAGCAACGAAAATAATTTTATGGTTGGGTCACAACATGAGGAACTGTATTTAAAGGGCCAGAAGGTTGAGAACCACTAGTGTAGAGGAAGATAAAAGCAGATACATTGTAGGTCACTATAAAGAAGGATGAATGGAAGGCAGAAATGCACAGGCATTATGGGAACACTGAGCAGGAATGCTTAACCCAGAGTGGAGTATAGAGGAGTCTTGCTGGAGGAAGTGATACCCAAGCTGAGTCCTAAAAGTAAAAGAGGTTAGTCAGGGCAAAGAACTAGGAAGAGAGGAGGGAGAAATGAGGGAGTTCCAAGCAGAAGAGGCAGCAGACACACAGGCCCTGAAGTGAGAGTCACCCATCATGACCAGTTTTGCCATTTTATTTATCAAATATTTTTTGAAAAGTAAAATTTGCAGGAGCCACATTTTCTGATTACAATAAAAGTAGAAATTGACAAGAAAATATAACTACCTTAGCATTTTAGTCTCCTAGGGCTGCTGTAACAAATTACCTTTAATTGATGGCTTAAAACAGGAGAAATTTATTCTTTCACAGTTCAGCAGGCCAGGAGTTTGAAATCGAGGTGTCGGCAAGGCCACTCTGAAGACTCTAGAAAAGAGCATTTTTTCAGCTTCTGGCAGCCGCAAGCATTCCTTGGCTTGTGGCCCCATCACTCCAGGCTCTGCCTCTGTGGTCACATTGCTGCCTCCTCTTGGGTGTGTCTGTGTTAAATCTCATCTGCTTCTAAGCTAAAACTACACTTGTGAAGGCATTAAGGCCCCTCCTGGGTAATACCATATAAGCTTCTCCTCTCATCATCCCTCACATAACCACACCTTTTATCGTATAAGGTCAACATTCATAGGGTCTAAGGAGTTAGGCATGGATGCTGTTCAGGGGGCATTTTTCAGCCCACTGTACTTAGTAAGCTTTGTCCACTGAACACTGCTCCTTATTGTGTAAAGGCCTCTCTTGTTCTCCTTATGGTTTACATTAGGAATTCTGTTTATATTCATAAAACCCATTATAGGAAGAGATGAAACAACTATAAAAAGGCAAATGATGATCTCTACATGCTGAAAAGACATCTGAAGAAATTTTAATAGCTGTTCCTGATTTAAATTAAAACTCTGGAATCATATAAAATAATATGGCTCGAAATTATCACCCCATCTGTCACACTAGCCATTAGGGCTGGTATGGCACCATTTTCCTCTTTTTCTGGTCCTGTTCCCGGGTTCCAGAATACTGAGGAGGGAAGATCAGCACCGCACAGCTGTCTCCCACTGAAAACCCAGGCCTCGCTTCCGGGGTGCATTCATCTCGCAGTGGCATAGAAGCAGGGCTGGACAGAGAGGCCTTAGAGACCACCAGGCCAGCCCTTTCGTTTTACAGATGAGGAAACCTATGCAGAGAGTGTAAAAGTCATACCCAGGGTTACACAGCATGTTCATGGGAGAGCTGAGACAATAAGGTTTCCTGACCTCCAGAACTCCGGCCGACCTCCCTGAGTGCAGAAGAGGGAAGGAGCTGGGGATGGAGCAGTGATAGGATTGGGAGCTAGTAAAAAGGGGGTGTGTGAGGCTTTGTGGCCAGATGTCTTTTCAGCAGCTAGGCCCATTTGATTGAAGTGTATCCTCTACGGTCACATTGCCTCCTCCTATTGGCTGTGTCTGTGTTAAATCTCACCTGCCTCGATGCTGAGCCCTCCAGTCCTTTTTTAGGTTTTTACTGGACATCTTCTGTGTGCATGGTGCTTTCTAAAGTGTGGCCCCTGCCCACAAAGAGCTTTCCACGTAAGATGCATACATGCACATATGGTGGTGTGTGTATGTATTTATACACATACATTTTTATATTATCTATATAAATACTTACACACGTATATATACACACACATTTACATGCTTACATTGATACAATAAAAGATGGTCTGAAATAGTTGCCATATGGAGTTGTTGTCAGGATTCAGAATAAGGAAATGATATCATCCTTCTAGCTGTGTGTAATACACCCAGGGAAGCCGATGCTGCCTTGGGTCCTTGATGCAGTCCTTGGATGCTGGGGATTATTTTTATAGGAACAAGTGGGAAGAGTGCTAAACATTCAGGAAATAGCTACTGGGTCCATTTGACAGGAGTGTGTCCTTTTTGTAGCAAAGACAAGTAGAAATGCCTGGAAAAATAGATTCAGATCAAATCATAATGAGTCTTCAAGGCCCAAAATAAGGGCTTGGAAGTTTGAGTTTTATGGGTTACATGATAGATTGAGTCAGGTGACTTCTAGGGTTCAGTCAAAAATGGCTTGAAGGTATTAGGAAGAAGACCTAAAGTGGGGGAGGCAAGTCCCCCCCGACCCCCATGGGCAGCATAGCGTGATGGGACTTTCTTGCAGAATTAAGTATGCAAGGCTGAAATATTGGCGAGGGTTCAGGGTTAGAGATCTGAGAACTGTGTGCATTGATGTGATGGTCGAGGGGACATGTAGACAGGTGAGAAAACAGAGCTGTAAGAAGCAGCTGCATCTATAGTTACCATCTCCCAGAATCCTCCATGACTTTTATACCCCCAGCCCTGAGTGTGCGCCACCTAGAGGCCATGCCCGTCACTGCAGAAGAACAGGTCCTATTCCCACCTTTCTCACCAACTACTGGGCTTTCAAGACCTTACTCATCTCCCTTCCTCCAGACCAGCGGTTCTCAACCTGTGGGTTGTGACCCCTTTGGCGGTCGAACGGCCCTTTCACAGGGGTCACCTAAGACCGTCCTGCATATCAGATATTTTCATTACGATTCATAACAGTAGCAACATTACAGTTATGAAGTAGCAATGAAAATAATTTTATGGTTGGGTCACAACCTGAGAAACTGTATTTAAAGGGCCAGAAGGTTGAGAACCACTGCTCCAGACCATAAACACTGGCCTCCTCGTTTTCTTTCAAGAATGTCATGCATGTGCCTGCTTCCTTCCCTTTGTTTAATAATCTATTTCCCTGTGTGATCTGCCTTCTGCTTTCTCCTCTGCTTATCCAGCTCTTACCATCCTTTGCGGTTCTCCTTGGATTCTTTTATCCCACCCTGAACACACTGAGCGAACCTTAGGCAAGCCCCTTGACCTCCCTTCGGATGAGGCCCTTAGTTCCTGTGTGTCGCTGGTTTGCTTTTATCTTAGTAATGCTGGATGATAAATACAGCTGTCTGTATTTTAAGAGTCATCTTCTTGAGGTAAGCAGTAAGCCAGTAGAAAATGATCTTAATTGTAATTATGGTAATGATGTTTGCTCTGCTTTTGAAGAATAGAAACAATAGCCCCTTTATTTAGGAGGTAAAATTTGATGTTCCTTAACACAGGACATCGAGGACAGAATCAGCCTCATAAACTGATTGCATAATTAACAGTGGGAGGGTGTTGTAGATTTCTAGAAAAGCTTTAAATGTGGCTCTTGCTTGGTGAGTAATGAACATTTTCTATGTTTTTCCTCCATTAGCTATTCTGTCATCGGTTTTATTGACAAAAATAAAGACACTTTATTTCAAGATTTCAAGCGCCTGATGTATAACAGGTAGGGTTAAATTTTACTGTCTTTATATTAAACATTTTGACATATATCGCACAGTATATATGCACATGATTATTTTTATGTGACAACTTTAAGATTTTTTTTGGTAAATTCTCTAGTTCTGCTTGATCAGACCTAATAAAATATTACTCTGTAATTATAACAATCAATAGACTTAGGACAGGGACCTGCTATGAATATGATTTTCTCTGATTGCCCTTGGGTGGCCTCAGTTTCTCTGTTTACTGCTGCCATCCTTCTGGCACCCCCTACCAGAATATTCAGGAGGAGTCCCTGGCTGGGCCAGTGGCAAATGGAAGGTGTCAGATAACCTCTGGCACAGCTGAAAACCTTACACACTCAGATTCCCACTGTAGTGTCTTTGCCCCCGACGAAGAGGTCCCTCTGCTGTCTGAGTAGCAGCTGGAATCACTGATGGTAGATCCTGAGTGGACAGAATCTTCTCACAATCCCAGAAAAGGGGAAAAAACAAGTTCAAACCCAGCATGATACTTCGGAAAGAAGGCCCATGAAGAAAGAAGGATGCTCAGTCAGCTACTTCTATGGGTTAGAGAACTGTAGACACTCATTTATCAAGTCTCCTCGTCAGTTGGTCAGTGGATCATCAAAGAGGTACTGAGCACCTCTGAGCCACACGTCCTCCCACGCTCTGGGGTACAGCTGTGGGAGAAATTTAGACAAGTCCCTGCCCCTTTACGTCTTATATTCTAGTAGAGGGGGCAGTCAGTAAACAAAACGACAGCTAACTTCCAGGTAGTGACAAGTGCTGTGAAGAAAAATAAAGTAGGTAAAAGATTGAAGGGTGATCTCTCTCCCAGTTTTTTATGGGGGGGAGGCAACCAAAATTTCTGGTGGCCTTGTTTCGACAAGGATTAAAAAAAAAAGGTTGAAGGGTGCAAGCAAGGAAGGGCAGGGGAGGCATTGTAGATAGGGTTGTGGGAAAGGCTTCTTAAAAGAGGTGATATTTGAGCAGAGACCTGTATGAAGTCGGGGAGTGAGCCGTGAACAGTGGGGAAGAAGAGCATTTCAGGTAGAGAGAACAGCTAGTACCAAGGTGCTAAAGTAAGAATGAGTTTGGGAGCATCGAGAACAGCCAGAAGGTCATTGTGGCGTAAAAAAGAGGGATGGGGAGAGCGACAAGGAATGAGTATTTACAGAGGTCAACGGGGCCTGGGTTATGAAGAGGCTGTGAGCCGAAGTAAGGAGGAAGAATGAAGGGCAGCCACTGGAATTAATGATCAGATGTGATTTATACATTAAACAAATCACTAGGGCTACCTAATAAAGCACACACTGTTGGGGGCAAGAGTAGAACTGGGGAGACCAGTTAGGGGACTAGTCTGAGATTTGGATGGTAGTGACAGAGATGATGCAAGGTGGTCAGAGTGGGTGATAGTTGGTAAGTAGAGCCAACAAGACTTGCTGATGAATGGGATGTGTGATGCGAGAGAAAAACAGAAATCCAAGCCGATACCTGAGCAGTGCGGAAGGGATGCTTGATGGGGGAAGACAAGAGGAGGAGCTAATCTGGTGAGGGAAATCGAGAGCTTTGTCTAGGATATTTTATGCTGGAGGTGCATATTATATTGAACATCCAGTTGAAAATGTCAAATAGGCAATCGCATGTATGCCTCTGGGACTCAGGGTAAAGGTGGGGTTTGGGGTATCAATTCATTGATAGTAAAGTCTTAAGATTGGATTTAGGGGGAACACAGATTTAAAAAATAAGAGAGAGGAGAGGTAAAAAAAAAGAACCCCTGAGACGCTCCAGCATTTAGAGTCAAGAAAGAAAGGAGGAACTAGCAAAGGACACTGAGCGTGCCAGTGAGGCAGGAAGAAACCCGGAATCTGGTGTCAGCGAGGCCAAGCCAAGGAAAAAGTGCGTTGAGAAGAAAAAGGTATAAACCGTGTCAAAAATCTGTCCAAAGCAGAGTGATGTGAGGACCGAGATGCACTGTTGGGTTTGCTGACATGAACATCAGTGGGACTCTTGACAACACCGGTCTCCGTAGAGTTGTGGAAGGCCAGTGTGTGATGGAAGTGGGCTCCAGGGAACGGAGAAAATGAGAATGTGGCGACGTTGTGTTTAGACTGTTGTTTCCAGCAGTTTTGCTGTGAAATGGTTCCTCTGCGTGCATGCCACCAGGAGTGCTGATGGAGCTGTGCCCTTAGGATGTTACAGGTAGAGGGGACCCCTATAAGAGCTGGCCATGGGGAAAAGGGACTTTCAGAAAGGAGTTTCAGTTCGTAACTTATCAGGTAAGAGGGACAAAGGACAGAGTCTGGCATAGCTCTGTGTAGAAAATGTCAAAAACTCAAATTAGAAAAAATGGCCTTCGTTGGCCAGTGGCAATGTCTGTGGGTTTGTTGCTAAGGAAAGAAGGCAGAGCCGGGCTGTGTACCAAGAGACTGCCCCATGTGGCATTCCTTACCTTCGGGAATTCATCATGGCCCCAAGTTCATCTCCCCGGGAACAGCTCCACCTCCCAGGGGTGGTTTCACGTAACTCTGAGCTCACAGGACAAATGAAGAAACGGAACAGCCTGTGGATTATTTCCAGAGGAAGATCTGATGGTCATGTGGAATGGAATACTTGCGTTGGTATGACAAGCTATTTTTTTTTCCTATTGGAAAACCCACTAGGGAAGTCAAAACAGCAGTGAGAATTCTAGTTTATTAATTGACTGAAAAACATTACTCATAAAGTCCAAAATGTTTAATCACTTAGGAAACACAGAGTCAGAACAAAGGAACTTCGATAAATCCAACATTAAAGGCGTCAAGCGAAGATGAGTTCATTTCACAATAGGGATGATCTTGTCAAAAATCTGTTGACTGCAACTTACTGTACAGATATCCATCAGAGGAAAGGCCTTGCCAGTGGGGTGGGAAGTCTTGAAATTGTTCAGGCAAAAACCATCCTCCTGGGTGGTGCTTGGATGGGCTACCTTTGCCTCTGGACACGTCAGTGCTTCCATGGCTAAATAGCCTCCCAAATTTCCATCCTTTTTTCCTTTGTATATATTTAAAGGAACTTGGATCTCCAGTTCTGTAGGTGGGGCTTATTAGACCTTCAGTGTATACATGCATGTTAGTGTGTGTGTGTGCGCCATATATCTGAGTGTGTGTGTGTGTGTGTAAATGAAAGGAGGAAGAAAGCAAACCAGTGGCAGGCCAGGTGCACAGACTTTGCTCATCACTTCTTTTTTCTTAGCCAGATAAGTTCTGCCTTGCCTTACGTACTGGGTTTCTGGATAACTAAGTTTCCCTTTTAAAGAAAGGGTTCCTTTGGTCCATTCATTTACTTATTTATTTAGAGCTATCGGTGGCAATGCCTTTTTTTCCCCCATTACAGTTTACAGTCAATATTATTTTCTATTAGTGTCAGGTGTACAGCCTAGTGGTTAGGTAATCATATACTTGACAAAGTGTTCCCCCTGAAATTTCCAGTATCCACCTGACGCCATATATAGTCACTGCAATATTATTGACTATATTCCCTGTGCTGTACTTCATATCCCCGTGACTGTTATGTAACTACAATTTGTACTTCTTAATCCCTTCACCTTTTTCACCCATCCCCCCCAATGCCCCACCCATCTGGCAACCATCTGTCTGTTCTCTGTGTCTATGAGTCTGTTTCAGTTTTGTTTGTTCATTTATTTTGTTCTTTAGCTTCCACAAACAAGTGAAATCAGATAGTATTTGTCTTTCTCTGTCTGGCTTATTTCACTTAGCATAAAACCTTCTAAGTCCATCCATGCTGTTACAAATGGTAAGATTTCATTCATGTTTATGGCCGAGTAATATTCCATAGTATATATGTACCAGAGCTGTTTTTATCCACTCATCTATATTCATGGGCACTTGGGTTGTTTCCATGTCTTGGTTATTATAAATAATGCTGCAATAAACATAGGAGTGCATATATTCTTTTGAATTAGTATTTTGGGTTTCTTCAGATATATACCCAGAAGTGGAAATACTGGGTCATAAAGCAGTTCCATTTCTCATTTTTTGAGGAAACTCCATACTGTTTTTCATAGTGGCTGCACCAGTCTTCATTCCCAGCAATAGTGCATGGGTCCCATAATAATAAATGTCTTAGTTCCTTCATTTTCAGCACCCCTCCCTAACTGACAAGGTAGTACAAGAGTCTCTATAAATGGCCAGCAGTGAGTAAGGTGATATTTGGCGTAGAAACTGCTTAGATCAAAGTAGAAACTGCTCACACCAGAATTTTCAAAGGACACCTGTTCTGATCTCAGGAAATTGTATTCAGTAAGTGTTAGGAAGGCATCCCGCACTCATGTGTACTAAATGTCAAGAACCACTACTTTAAGTTCTCTCTCTATTAAAGATTAGAATGGAAAAGTTAAGGGAAAACCAGGTACGTTGATGTGGTTATTTTTATTGATGTGCATATCATTGGAAAATTATGGAATAAAACTAGAAAGTGAAAAAACTGGGTCCATAAGCCACAGATCAGTGCATTATTTTATAGTCACTTTCTTGCAAGCGGCAGGGAGGGTCACAGTGTGGTTCTGTCTTCACTCAGAGACCCGGTAAATCTTCCCCTCACCTCATCGGTCCTTAGCATGTTTGCAGCAATTATTTTGAGCTGCTCTGTATAGAAATTTACTAGATATTTGGGAAACCAACTCAATTTTCTCAATTTTATACCAGGAGAAGAAAAGTGGGGAAAATGATGGCAGTAGTAAACACCATTAGCAAAAAAAATGCCCATGTTAATTCTTTTCTAGTCTCAAACCCCAGTTTAAAAAAAGAAGAAAAAAATCTGACAAGAGAAAAGTTTCCAGGAAGCCAGCAAGGTTTCACATTTCAATCTTTGAAAATCAAAAGCACCCGAAATGAAACAGGAAGAAAATCCGAGTTGAGACCACCCCACGGGTTTTTAAAAATATCTCCACGGAGCCACATAATGACTATTCCGTGGTGAGCATGAACGCTGGCCTGATGCACACTTTCAAGAATAGGATCACAGCCATCTTAGTGTCACCTCAGTGACAGATTTTAGCCGCCAGTGCTACCTGTAAGTGGCTCATCAATCCAACTGCAGGCGAGGGACTTTCTAGAAGACGGTGTGAGGATGGTTATTTTACCTTCCTCACTGTACTTTTGGAAAGACCTGCCTGTTTGTGGTGTCACCTATTCTGTGTGAACATTTGTTTCAATCAGAAGATACTTTGGTGTTCATGTTTTCTACCATAACATTGAGAGTCATTTCCCTGCTAGTGGTTTGCACTCATTCCCGTAACTACCACCCAGACTATATTTTATGTGTAGATTGTAAGACCTATGTTAACTCCTTGAGGGTACTAGATCATAATAATATAGATGTCACTTCAAAGAGGTTTTTTTTTAATGCAGTACAGTTTGGACACATCTTTCAGCATCATTTTCTGGATGGAATTGTTTCTCCAATTAGGCCTTGTGAGTTCAGTCTGTGGTCTAGTCATGCCTCCCAGGGTACGTCCGGCTGGATTGCTTAGCAGTTCTTGTTCAGCCTGTTTGAATTGCTCTTCCTGTGCTTCTCAGTTCAAATCCTGTGCTGAAGAATATGTGGCCCGAAGGCAAACTGAGCATCACGGAGGTGACCAAGCGCCCTCTGACCGCTGCCACCTTATTTAAGAACTCTATGATCGCCTTAGTGGACAACCTTGCATCGAAGGTAATCCTTTTCTTTTCTGGTTGCCCATGATATATGTTAGCGAGAATGTAGGTATGGCTTGCTTTTTAGGTAATGATGGTAAATCAAATTGAAGAATAGATATTTAAAGCAAATGTTGTAATAGAATTTTTATTCCTGGTGTGTGGATTTTAGGTAATTATAGTAAATCAAATTGTTGTTGTTAATGGGGCTAGGTAAAACAGTTGTTTGTGTCCCAGGTAAAATTGTTTTTAATTATAAATTATAACATATGCTTGAACTTCTGCCCTGGGCTGACACCAATGGCTGACTTTTTAAAAAAATCTTGAACTAAATTGTCATACACCATCGGTATATTATATCTGAATACGAAATGACCAGATAGAGTTTTAAGAGGAGGTTTGGTACTTAAGTATTATCCTCAGGTTGTTTTAAATAGTTGAAATAAAAAGATGTGTTATTGACCATTACGTCTGCTTTTTATTACTCCTGTGAGATCTAATCCTGTTGGTTAACTTTAGTCTGTTTTTTTGTAAAGAACATATTTTTGCTTTCAACTACTGCTGCTGACAACTTTGATAAATTAGGCAGCATTCTGGGACTCATTATTTTTAATTCCTTCTTTTTTATCTTTCTCTTCTGGTGCTTTTCCTGTGTCATTCCTTCATTATTATCCTTTTTTTAAAAAAATCAACTTCCTCTCTAAGAATTTAAATCTATTCCATTTCTGGTGCCTTCCCTGTGGATGAATTAGGCAAATGCCACAAGAACATGTCTGTTCAGTGGCTTTCTGGTTTTTGTTTTTTGTTAATCCTCACCTGAGGATATTTTTTCATTGATTTTTAGAGACAGTGGGAGGGACGGGGAGAGACAGAGAGAGAGAAACATCGATGTGAGAGAGGCACATCAATGGTTGCCTTCCGCAGCCTGCAAGTGAGGTACGTGCCCTTGACCGGAATTGAACCAGGGACCCTTCAGTCCTTGGGCTGACACTCTATCCACTGAGCCAAACCGGCTAGCGTGCTTTCTATTTATTTTCATCAGGATTCTTTGGCCTCAAGTGACAACAAATAAGCACAATTTGTTGGTTTATATAATCAAACCTCTGGAACAGGAGGGGTAAAGACTAGAATTCATTAGAACGCTTCCTCTAGGCTTCTCTGCATGTCAGCTTCAACCTGCCTCACCCAGCAAGAAGGGAGGCAACCCTCACAGGAAAGCATGCAACACAGGAACTAGAGTTGAACAGAGGATTTTATCAAATATATTAGATTTATTTAATTAACTAGAAAAGAACCACGTTTCTAAAATCAGTAGTTAGATGTGCATTTAAAAAAAATTAAAATACTAGAACCGTCTATAGTGTCTGTGTCAGGAATTGCATTCAGCTGCTAATAAAAGAGACCCAGTTCATAGCTTATCCTTGAGAGACATTTGTTCTCTCTCCTGTAAATGAAGTATAGGTGACCCGGGACTGGTACGGCAGCTCTAAGGTGATCCGAGACCCAGGTTCCTTGGTCTTTCTGCTCCACCATCCTTGTGCTTGTCATATATCCTCCTGGCCCAGGATGGCTGTACTGCAAGCTACCTCCCTTTTAAAGAGACTTCCCGCACAGCTGGTGTGGCTCAGTGGTTGAGCGTCAACCTATGAACCAAGAGGTCACGGTTCGATTCCTGGTTCAGGGTACAGGCCCGGGTTGCGGCCTCGATCCCAGTGTGGGGCTTGCAGGAGGCAGCTGATCAGTGATTCTGTCTCATTATTGATGTTTCTCTCTCTCTCTTTCCCTTCCTCTCTGAAATCAATAAAAATATATTAAAAAATAAAGAAGAAAGAGACTTCCCGGAAGTCTCCCACAGCCTTTCAGCTACATCTCACTTGCTGTACCTCGTTGACAGGGGAGCTGGGAAATGCATTTTTATTCTAGTCAGCAGTACACCCAGCTAAAAATAACTATTCTGTTTCAAAGTAGGAGAAAGATACTGGATGTGAGGTAGGCAACTACCCTCACAGTCTTTGCTACAGCTTCCCAGTCTGGATGTTTATGGAGATGGGGGATGAGGGAAAGAGCAGGGATAAGCAAAAGAATATAGACAATAGAAGGCAGGAAGATGGCCGGGGCAGAAACGGGAACATGTGGATTACATTTAGAAAATACAAAATAGTGTGATAGAAATAAATCTACATAGTTGGTACTCACCAGGAATGTAAATAGACTAAACAGAGTAGATAGGTGGAAATACCTAATTAACACTATGCATGAGTATTATAAACAAAGAGGTAGCTTTAAAAAAAACTGGTTAAAAGCAATATTAATGTGAGAGAACATGGAATTTAAGAAAAACAAGTATTAGCACAGATAAAGAGACTGATAATAAAATGAAGGTATGCAAGACAGTAAAGTCATTTTGAACTAGGTGCCAAATAACATAGCCATGATTATGCATGAACTCTATAAAGCAAAGGAACCTGACATTTTTTAAAAGAAAAATGCACAAGTACACAGTCCTAGCGGGAGATTTCAAACCAAATCTACCCCAAACTGATAGACATGGAGGCTGGGACAAAACCTTAGTAAGAAGGCAGAAGCTTTGTCCTGGCCGGGTAGCTCAGTTGGTTACAGTGTCCCCTGATACACCAAGGTTGCAGGTTTGATCCCTAGAAGGAAAGAGAAAAGTGCATTGAGTCTGGTAGGAGGTGCAGAGGTATGGAAGTGTGGAGTTAACGGAGGCGAGCGTGAAAGGGGCTGGCAGCTGGGTACACTGTTGTCTTTTTCAATCGGGAGGGAGATACGAGCTCCCAACCGCTCTGAACTCCAGTTCAGAATGAGAATTTGGGCACCCAGACTCATATGGAGAGAAACTGGACTGTCTGGCATTGGGCCGGAACGTGAGAGCGGCTTTCTTGCAGAGGTGCTTGCAGCGTTCATTGTTCCTGCACAGGGCCACGGGACACAGACCCCGGAGGCAGAGCAGACTGGTAGCCATTGTGGTTTGCTCCGCCCTGGTGATTCCTTGAGACCTCACCCTACCCAATTTACAACCCCACCCAAGCTGTGCACAGAGGCTTTTGCATACGAATGGCCTGGCCTTTCTCCGCCTGAAAACCTATCAAACTGTAGCTCGGTCAGAGAACCCAAGAGCTTCCAAAAGAAGGCCTAAGGCTCGTCAGCAGCCTGCATTGCTTCACAGCTGCACCTCATCTGGGCACCTCCAAACCCCAAACAAAGAGGAGGAATCTGTAGATCTCTCTGTAGCTCCTGCTGGGTGGCCTCAGGTAGTGGCTGACTTTGCACCTCCTTGGAGATCCAAGAGCCAATCTACCCAGTGGTCAGAGTGAGACCATCCAGATTACAACTCTTCACATCCATAAGAGACACACTCAGGGGGCAGACTCAGTGAGCGCCAAAGCCCCACTAAAGCAAGTCCTGCCCCATAAGGGTGTCTCCGGCACAGAAGTTCTCCCATTGTAGACACAACTGGTCCTCACAGCCAATTGACCTGGAGGTCAGTTCCTATCAGTGATACCAACAGCAATCAAGGCTTAACTACAAGGCTGTGCACACAGCCCACAAAGGGGTGCACCAAGAGTGTCCACCTCAGGTAATTAGGGAGGCTGAGCCCCTGGGCCCTATAGGACACCTAGCACACAAAGCTACTCTATCAACACAGGGAAGCAGCCAAAAT